CTGTCTGAAGTGTACCTGGCGTATAAGACGACCCCCCACTTGGAGGCATATTTTTCAGGGCCAAAAAATCGTCTTATACGCCGGCAAATACGGTACCCACATACCATTTTCAGTGCTTTTTATTCCTTTGTGAAGGTACACATTTCCATCCATTATCATTTCTTTATGCCTGAGTGATGGCCTTTAATATTTCTTATAGTGCTGATCTGCTGGCTATGAATTCTTTCATCTTACATACATCCTTTGAAAAAGTCTTTATTTTGCCTTCCTTTTTGACAGATATTGTTACTTGGTGTAGAATTTTGGGTTGACAGTTTTTTTTCCTTTCAGTATTATAAAGATGTAGCTCTGCTACTTATGGCTTGCATTGTTTCTAAAAATAAGTCTATTATCACTCCAATGTAATGTAATGTTTCTTATTTGTCAGGCTGCCTTCAAGATATTCTTCTAATATATTCCTGGTTCACTAGATTTCAATAATTTGTTTATGATGTACCTGAATGTGGTTTTCTTCGTGTCCTCTCTTTGGGGTTCATTGAGCTGCTTGGATCTATGGATTTGTAGTTTTCATGATATCTGAAAAGTTTTTGTGTATTATTTCTTCACATATCTTTTCTGTCTCTCATTATCTTTGGGAACTCCAATTACATGTATATTAGGCTTAAAGTTGTTCATAGTTCATGGATGCGTGTTCATTTTTTTCTAACCTTGTTTTCTCTTATCATTTTGGATAGTTCTTATTTCTGTGTATCCAAGTTACTGTTTTTTATTTTTTGTCTGATCCACTGTAATTATATTTAATGTATTTTTAGTTTCAGATTTTTTATTTTTCTCTTTAGAAGTTTTGTGTGGGTCTTTTTATATCTTCCATTTCTCTCTTCCTCAAGTTTGCATTGATCTTGATGATATGGACTGTATTAGCTCATTTAATGTCCTTGTCTACTAATTCTGTATCTTTGACGTTTCTGTTTTGTTCTCTATTTATTAAATTTTCTCCTGGTCAGAGATTGTATTTTCCTGGTTCCTTGCTTGCTTATAATTTTTGATAGGATACCATATATTCATAGTATTATGTACTCGGTTTTTGGACTCCCAGGAGTCCAAAATATCCTTAAATATTTTAAGTTTTTTTCCTGGGACACAGTTAAGTTCCTAGGAATCAGCCTGATCCTTTCAGGGGCTCCTTTAAAACATTACTAAGCATGTCCAGAACAACCTTTTGTTTAAGCCTACTTTGTCCCCAGTATTGAGGTACTATTCTTCTGAGAACTCTACTCAGAGCTCTAGGTTTGAAGTTTTTAAAATAACTAGTCTGGCTAGTGGGAACATAAACTATTCCCTGCTATGTATGAGCTTTGGGAATTGCTGCCCACTCTGTTGCAGATATTTTTTTCTCTGGCCTTGATGGTTTTCTCACATGCATGTGATGATTACTAGTCAGCTAAGGTAATAACTCTTAAAAGGTCTCCAGAGCTCTCTTCAATGCAGCTTTTTCCACTTAAGCAGTCTGACTTGCACACTGTAGCCACCTTGATCTCCCTGAAATCTAACTTCTGTATCCTCAACTTAATGAGACCACCAGACTCTGGGTTCTCCTTTCCATTATTGCTGCTTGGGAACTTTCCCTAGGCAGTGAGATGGGATGTTTGTAGCACTTACCTTGTTTATTTTCCCTTCTCTTAGGGATCACTACCCTATTCTCCCTGTTTTGCAATACCTGAAAACCTTTATTTCATATCATTTGTCCTGTTTTATCTTTAAGGTGAGAAGATTAATCTAATCCCTATTGTTCTGTCATGGGCACATGAGGACATCCCTGATATTCTTTGTTAATGAAATTTAGTTTTGCTACATTATTTTTTGTACTTCTGACTTGTATCAGTAAATTTATGAATTCATTCTGCAGAATTATTTGGCATTATGACGGTACATGGAATGTCTCAGACTTGTGAAATTGATACCTACTTCATTAGGAAAAATGATAGGTACTTTGTGAGTTAATGATCAAGTTTCCTACAATGCAATTTAAATTTTTGTTGAAATTATAGAATATTAAAAAAAATCATATCTCATCGAAGCCTGCTATCTAAAACATTTAATACTTCTGAAAATCATTATTTCTGTGATGTTGCATCATTTCAGTCTTGGTTATAAACTCTTTATAAGTGGAAGAATATATCTAAATTGCTAGCCATTCATATTCATAATATGTACAGTTTTATAAGTTCTATGGTAAGTGGACTGTGAGGCATATAGTTGAGGAATAAAGACAAGAAGAATTCTCCCAGGATAAAACAATACTTGAGAATACAAATATACTAACCTGAGGTATTCGTCTTTAATGGCTAATTATTTAGATTATATTAATTATGAAAACATTGACAGTAAACCTGACACCTTTTTTTTTTTTTTTTTTTGTTTAGGCTGAAGGGTATGTGATTGGCAGCTGTATTAAGCACATTCCCATCGCAGGACGAGATATAACATANAAAAAAAAAAAGAAAGAAAATTTAGAGCTAATCTTATAAGACTGATACTTATTTATAGCCATCTATGAATTGAATAACTCCTGTGATTGGGTAGTTGGTTGTTTGCTTCTCTACCTACTTTGTTTGTAACAGGCTATTCCATATAAACATAGTTTAAATCTTGGCAGTTTTAGTACTGTACAATTTCACATTAGTCTTCCATTTTTTTGGCTTTAGGAGAAAAATGGCCCTCACTAAAATATGGAATATTTATAAATATGCCCTTGAAAGCAAGTATAAGCCTGTAAGTTTATCTTAATAAAGTGTAGGGTGTAAAAATTTGATTGCATAATGTAAATTAATTTTGTGAATTTCCTTTCCAGTGATACTATGTTTAAAATTGAATAAAGTACTCCAGTAAAATACTTTTTTCTTTTAACTGTCTTTTTTTTTTTTTTGCCTGTCTTATTTCAATTTGTTCAAGGCTGTTCTTGCCTTAGCTGCTTCCTGGACCTCAAGACAAGTAGGAGAACGAACGTTGACCGGTACGGTAATAGACAGTGGAGATGGTGTCACTCATGTCATTCCTGTGGTAAGGATATTTTTAAATTACTGAACAGGACATCAGATAACCTCTGGCAAAGTTAAATTATATGAATTAATACCATGGTTTAAAAAATTGAAATATTATACTTTAAAAAATTTGCTGTAATTTGGCCATTTGTTCAGCTATAGCTGTATTTTGCTCAAATTATTAAAAGTTTATAAACGAACTCCAAAATGTTTCTTTTGCTATAGGTTTGTACTCTCATTAGAAAATAATTAGAAAATTATTAGAAATATTTTGTTTCTAATTCCTAATTAGAAAATGATGAATTGGCATTTCTAGAATGGAAATATATATGACTTTATTTTCTTAAACATGGGATTCTGTTTTCCAGTTTGGATGTGTCTTTGTATGTATTAATCACTTGATTCTCTCTTATCCTTAATTAACAGATTTCAGACTGTGTAGGTTAACTAAATGCCATTAGTTGTAAGTAAGCACATGGCCATTAATGACTTAGGGGGAATCTTTTTTTTTTTAATTTTTAACATTTTTTTAGCTGAGCCATCCTGCCACCTGTTGGCAGCTCAGCTCGGACCGGGAATCGAACCGGCGACCCTGTTACTCAGAGCTCTCACTCTTGAGCAAGCTCTTAACCAACTGAGCCGCTCGGCCGGCCCTCATTTTTTCTTTAATAAAAAGGTCAAGATATGATTATACTTTGTGATTTGAATTTAGTAAAGCATATTAAGAAAACTTCATCAGATTGGATTATTTATCTGAGAGCATTTTTCTGCCAAGTCCTTTGTGCTTCTAATTTTAATGACAAATTAGGGTTTTGTTTTTTGCGTGTGTGTGCCTCATATGTTCAAAATGACTACTTAAATTTATACTGATTATTTTCTTGCTTTCTTTGGAATTTATGGATTTATTTTTTTAATTCCATTTTGTCTTTTGACTTACTAACTGTGCTATACTTTTTTGTTATCATCAGTTGCTTGTTTTTGGTGGTCGCTCTAGGGTTTATAGTAGACATCTTTAACTTATCACAATCTAACTTTAAATGATACTCTATTTCATAAATAAGAACTGTACAAGAGTACTTCTGGTCTGTACTGTCATTGTCATTCCTTTTACTTCTACATGTTATAACTCAATAATACATTATTAATTTGCTCCATTGTAAGTAGTGTATTAGTTTGCTAGGGCTGCCATAACAAAGTACCACAGACTGGGTGGCTTGAACAATAGAAAATTAATTTTTTCACAGATATGGAAGCTAAAAGGTGTTGGCAGGGTTGCATTCTTCTGAGGCCCCTTCTCTTTGGCTGGTAGATGGCCTTATTCTCCCTGTGTCTTCACATAGGCTTTCCTCTGTGTCTGTGTCCCAGTCTTCTCTTTTAAGAACTTTAGTCCATTAGTTGTATTGGATTAGAGCTCACTCTAATCACCTCATTTAAACTTAATTACGTCTTTAAAAACCCTCTCTCCAAATGCAGTCATGTTCTGAGTTATTGGGGGTTAGCACTTTAACATAAGAATTTTGGCTGTGATCAATTAATTGTAGACACCACTGCACTCGGACCAGCAACATAAGAATTTTGGGAGGGGCAGGACACAAGTCAGCCCATAACAAATAGTCATCTGGAAAAGATATTTTGAAAAACAAATAAATTCTTTTATATTTACCGTATTTGCCGGCGTATAAGATGACTGGGCGTATAAGACGACCCCCTAACATTTCCACTCAAAATACAGAGTTTGTTATATACT